ATATGTATATATATATATATACACATATATATTGTTTCTTTGCAAATTATTTGAAGAAACAGGGTTCACTTGTCTTATAAAGTCTCTTACTATCTGAATTTTTATTGGTATAATTTAATTGATATAGTTTTATAGTTTGTCTGTCCTCAGTATTTCAACAGTGAGAATCCTCCAATTGTTTTGTTTTGTAGCATTTTGTTTTGAAAGATAAAATACATCATGAGTTCAAACACTCTTCCAATTCAAATTCAAGACTTCTAGTTTTTACTTAACTTCTTCTATATTACATCTGTATCTACTTTTCCCACCTCCAGTAATTCTGGCTGTTAAGGTCACTGGGGATAAGAGAATGGGAATCATCACACAAGTACACATTTGATTTTTTTGCCACATTATCCACATAACATTCTCAGAATATAACACCAAGACTACTGCAAACAATAAGATTCGGAAAATTCTTAAAGACTGCTTTTTCCATGCAGTTGTTTCGAGTATTCTCTTACTATAAAGATAGAAAGACAAATAACTATGTTTAAAAATCACTTAAAATTTTCTGTATAGTTATGCCAACTAGAAAAATTTAGGCTCATTTCTTTTATATTATTTATCATTCTTAGGACTTTTTTTTTTTTTTTTTATTGTACTTTAGATGAGCGTTTACAGAACAAATAGTTTCTCATTAAACAGTACACATGTTGTTTATGACACTGGTTAACAACCCCACGACACATCAACACTCTCCCTTCTCAACCTCAGGCTCCCCATTACCAGCTTTCCTGTCCCCTCCTGCCTTCTAGTCCTTGCCCCTGGGCTAGTGTGCTCCTTTAGTCTCGTTTTGTTTTATAGGCCTGTCTAATCTCTGGTGAAGGGTGAACCTCGGGAGTGACTTCATCACTGAGCTAAAAGGGTGTCCAGGGACCATACTCTCCAGGTTTCTCCAGTCTCTGTCAGGCCAGTAAGTCTGGTCTTTTTTTTGTGAGTTAGAATTTTGTTCTACATTTTTCTCCAGCTCTGTCTGGGACCCTCTGTTGTGATTCCTGTCAGAGCAGTTAGTGGTGGCAGCCGGGCACCCTCTAGCTGTACTGGACTCAGTCTGGCGGAGGCCGTGGTAGTTGTGGTCCATCAGTCCTTTGGATTAATCTATCCCTTGTATCTTGCTTTCTTCATTCTCCCTTGCTCCCGAAGTATGAGACCAGTGGAGCATCTTAGATGGCCACCCACAGGCTTTTAAGCCTCCAGACTCTACTCACCAAGGTACAACGTCGAACATTTTCTTTATAAACTATGTTATGCCAATTGAGCTAGATGTTCCCCGAGACCATGGTAGGACTTCTTTTTTTAAACTTAATTTTGTTTTATAATTGTAGAAAATATGTATATAGTTTAAAATCAAATTTACAAAACAAGTTATATTCAAAGAAGTCTCCCTTCTACCTTTGTCCCCTTTATTCTATTCCCTCTTTAAACAGATAACAATTTTTTAAAACTTCATGATTAATCCTTCTATTTTTTTTAAATATAAAGTTTATATCGTCCTAACAGCTATGTTTACCCTAATACTTTTTATAACCCTTGTTACTACCTCTTTTTTTTCCCTAAATTTTATTTTGTTGTTGAGAATATACACAGCAAAACACACACCAATTCAACAGTTTCTACATGTACGATTTAGTGACACTGATTACATTCCTCTAGCTGTGCAACTATTCTCACCCTCCTCTTCTGAGTTGTTCCTTTCTCATTAACAAAAACTTACTGCCCTCTTAGGTTCCTATCTTTCAAGTTGCTGTTGTCAATCTGACCCCATACAGATAGTTCTTAAAGGAGCATAATGCTCAAGGCAGACCTTTTTTTTTTTTACTAGTTAAGCTAAACTATTATTTGGTTTCAAGAAGATTTCCAGGGATATTTTTGGTTTAAGGGTTAAAGATTGTCTCAGGACAATATTTCAGGAGTTCATGCAGCCCCATGTCTGCAGAAAGGCTAGAGTTCGTAAGATTTTAAATTCTGTTCTGCATTTTCCCCCTTTTGATCAGGATTTTCTGTATAATCTTTGATGAAAATGTTCAGTAATCTTAGCCGGGCACCATCCAGTTCTTCTAGTCTCACGGCAAAGGAGGCAGTTGTTCACGGAGGCAATTAACGACACACTCCATATCCTCTTCCTATTCCTGACTCTCCTTCCTCTTTTGCTCCAGGCAAATACAGACAAATTGTTGTGCCTTGGATGGCTGCTTACAAGCTTTTAAGACCCCAGGCACGATGCATTGAACTAGGAGGTAGAACAGAAACACTAAAAACACTATTAGGCCAATTAACTGGGCTGTCCAATGAAACCATGACCCTAAACCTCCACCAAACCAAGGAACCAAATCCCATTAGTTGTTTGGCTGTACGTAAGCAAACTCCGTAGCTACTCTTTTGTTGTTGTTGTTGTAAATATATCACAAACTTTTTATAGGTGTACGACTTATTAACAGCAATTACAATAATCAGTTGTGGAATCCTACCTCTTGCTTCCTCTTTTTAAAAAATATATATTGTCTACTGGTTCCCCACTAAGAACAATACTGAAATTAGTCACTGATGTCTTCTTCCCCTTACTCTCCTTCTCCAATATTTTGATTTAAAATAAAAAGTACTTTTTACCAATCAATAACTAAAAGGAATCAAACAGCTTATTAAACTATTCATATGCTTTCTCTATTCCTGCCCTATATTTAAAAGCTGTACTTTATCTACATCATTAGAGCATATAAAACCAGTTGCCATCAAGTCAATTTCCACTCATGGCAACTCCATGTACATCAGAGTATAACTATGCTCCACAGGCCTTTCAATGGCTGATTTTTCAGAAGTAGACTGCCAGGCTTTTCTTCTGAAGCACCTCTGGGTGGACTCAAACTGCCAACCTTTTGGTTAGTGGCAGAGCACGCCAACCAGCCAAGCATCCTCTATCCTTTTTTTTTTTTTTGGCTTTAAAGAACAGAAATTTATTTTCTCACAATTCTAGGAGCTAAAAGTCCACATTATGGTGATTCTTTCCTTACTGGTAGCCCCAAGTGTCCCTTCGTTCCTTGGCCTGTAGACAGTCCTCACACAGCACCTGTCTTCCCCTGTGTGTTTGTTCCTCTGTGTCTAATCTGCTCTTTTTATAACTGAGAAGTGATTAGGACACTTCCTACACTGGTTTAGGACACACCCTCCACTGGTATGACCTCATTAACATAACAAAGAAAATCCTATTTCCAAACAGGATTTCATCCACAGGCAAATCGGTGAGGATTCCAATGTATGACACAATTCACCCCATAATACTAGCCACTATTTTTCCCTCTGTCTATCCATCAATGCATCCTATTTTTTTTTTTTAATTTTTTTCATTGTACTTTAGGTGAAGGTTTACAGAATAAATAGTTTCTCATTAAACAGTCAGTTACACATATTGTTTTATGACATTGGTTAACAACCCCATGACATGTGAACACTCTCCCTTCTCGACCTTGGAGGATCTTTTTTTTTTTGGTGAAAAAAGATACACCATTTCAGAAATTTCTGCATGTACAATTCAGTGACATCTATCACATTCTTCCAGTTGTGCTGGTATTCTCACCATCCTTTTCCAAATTATTCCATCACCATTATCTACAACTCACTGGTCCCTAGGCTTCCCATCAAACCTTCTGTATACTCTATCCTTTTTAACCACTACTCAACCTGAGTTCTACAAGTAAATATCTATTTAACGCTCATTACCAGTTCTTAAGTTGATATCTCTCCAGTCATTTTGATTGTCTGAAAATCATTCTCTAGTAGATTACTCAGAAAATGATAATGGGAACAAGATTCATTGAATTCTTACACATTCATAGCAGTGTATAGCCTTTATATACTTCAGTCAGTTATATATAAAATCCTTAGCTTATATTTTCTTTCCATGAGTGTCTTAAATAAATGTTACTTCATTGTTTTCTGACATAAAACATTGTTATCACACTAATCGATCACATGAGCCAATGAATATCTGTGAGGTATTTTGGAATTCTCTTGTTCTCAGGTTCAGGAGGTGTGCCATGAGTTCTCTCTGCTTCCATACAAACAGATGGAGCTCCAGTAGCTGTTAATAGTTATATCCACCCACTCATATTTTTACCCACTATTTTAGGGTTCATTGGGCTACCTTTGTTATAGATGTTGTTTGTAACTTTTTTTGGTTATGTTAATCTAGTTGTCTGTTTTTATCAAGAGGATTTGGGAAGATTCAAAATCTACACTACCACTAATGGAGTCTCGGAATTCCTCTCAAGAAATTATTTAGAAGTTTTGCTTAAATAGCAGCTTAAAATGGCAAAAGAGTACTCAGAGTTCAAAATAAGCCAGATCTGGGTTCGAATTTCAGTTCAGAATCTTAGCTGTGGATTTCCTTGTAAGGAGGACACATCACCACCTACCTGAAATATTGCTAAGACAAATAAAGTTTGTATGTGTATGTATGCACGTATATATACATATATGGATATCTGTGCGTGTATATGTGTATATATCATTTAGCATAGTACCTAGAACCATTAGGCACTCACCAGATAGTAGCTACTATAAAGTATCATTGATAAGGGGAGAAACAAAAACACCTTGACTAAAAAAAGTCTTAAAATAGTATATATAGCTCCTATCCAAAAAGCAAACCAGTTGCCGCTGAGTCAATTCCGACTGATGGCGACCCCATGTGTGTCAGAGTAGAACTGTGTTCCACAGGGTTTTCGATTGCTGATTTTTCAAAAGTAGATCACCAGGCCTTTCTTCCAAGGTACTTCTCAGTAGACCATGTCAAAAAATAACATCTTAAGCAAAATCATACTATAGGGAAGCTTGAAGTACATCAATAATTTTTTTAAGCCAACTTTAAAATCAAAAGCAAACAGAACAAAAAGAACGCATATAAAATTTAATTTTTTGGACGAAAATAAAGATTCTAAAATATAGCTCCTGAAAAACATATGCAATTATCAATCATTAACTTTATTCAGTATCTAACTAGAGCAATAAAAACTAAACTGTCAGCAGCATCTGCAAAGCATAAAATGCCTTTGAATGAAAGATCCATAACAACAGAGATTTTTTTTTTCCTCCTATTTTGTTCACTATTGTATCCCTGAGCCCTAATAGGCATACCATATGTACACCAACATCCACTGAGGGAACAAGGCAGGAAGGATGGATGGACTGATGGAGGGACAGGACAAGAGGAAAGACAGGGAGGGGGACTGGACAGGATGGATGAGGCCTAGATAGGTCAGGAGCTGGGCTGGATAGAAAGCAAAGGAGGTCCTGCACAGGACGGGGGTCTTAAACAACATAGCAAGGTGAGCGGGATGGAACACCAAGTGGGTTGGGAATGGAGCTACATGGGATGGGGGGGGGGCAAGGTATGGGACGGGAATGGGGGATGGACAGGAGTTGACACTGGATGAGACAGGAGGGGACAGCGGGCAAAATGGGGGTCGGGACAGCGGGCAAAATGGGGTTCAGGACAGTAGACAAAATGGCAAGGTGGAAGGGAGTGGGATCCAGGATAGAGCAGAATGGGAGGTATTGGGACAGACCAGGATAGTACAGAAGAGAGGGTCAGAGAGACAAAAGAAGGGGCAGATGGAGAGATGGATGAAGAAAGCGCAGAACAAACAAATGTGTTTGTTGTTGCTGAACATTTGATGAGAAATATATTGAATAAATAACTAATTCAACTGTAGCTCTTTGGGAGAAAAGCCACACATTCTGAGATGCTCTTCCACACTACAAAGTTTTAGAGAGGCAGATCCCCAAATGAGGAATCATGAGAAGGTCCAGCACTGCTAGTGACTGGATGAGAGCTTATGTACTTAATTCTGGGGCTAAGTATCAGGAAAGCCTCTGTTGCCTTACACATACATTCTTCGATAGCATCTTTACCAATATTTCATACATTTTCAGAAATATTAACTATAGTCCTTTCTAGACCTTCCCAGGCTAATTTAATTAGAATAAATTAAAAAACAAAAGCCACAAGTATGCTTAGCTTCTCACAGAGTACAATTCAGAGAAGGATCATGCTATTATAGTTTCTCAAACCTTAATTTACTTGTAAAAAACTACATAAATATCACGTAATTCCTAATCAAAAACTATTTTCTATGTACCTACCGGAAGCATAGCTTCAGCCCATTCTCCATGTCCTCTCTGGAGAAGTTTAATTCTTTCCAGATCATAACAAACTTGTACAAGATCACCAACTTGGAACTGGGAAGTGCCTCCTTCTGCACCTTGAGCAGCATCCCCACTTCGGACAATATTTGCTTTAGTGAGAACAGCAGGATTGAAAGTCCACCTACAAGATCAAAACCAAACTGAAAATGGGTAAGCTTACCTAGTTTTAATAAAACATTCTAAGAGAAATATTTGCCAAAATCCAGGGGGAAAAACTTTGTAACAAATCAAAAGTAACCTTTGCAATTACATCTTGAATAATTTGTACTTCTTTTTGATAATTTCAATACATAAATTTGGGCAAAGAGTCACCCTAACATAAGTATTAACACTTCAGTAAATTTCAACCCAGATTTAGTCTCCCATGCTGACACGTTTTTAAAAATTGTTACAAGAGTTAAGAGTAATTCATGCTCATTGTTAAAAATTCAAACATTTCAGAAACATGTAAAGTAAAAGTTCCATTTCACACAAACACACCTGGATCCCCAGTCCCTGCCTCAATGGAAACTACTATTAATAATCTGTTGTGAACCCTTTCCAATTTTCTATCCATATGCTAAATGATATTTATACTGTACAAAGAAAATTGTTTTCCATAAATGGGATCATACTGTATATATTATTCTGTGACTTCTTTTTTCTCAGAGAATTCATCTTAGAAGATTTCTTTTTCAAAGTCACACATATGAATCTACTTAATTCACTTTAACAGCTACAGACAATGCATAGTATATGAATATACACTAATGTATTTATCCATTCTTCTACTGACTATCCTATAAAGTGCTTCCAAGTTTTCACTATTACATATAATACTACACAGAAAATCCCTGCATTACATCTTTGTGCACATGGGGTCAGTATTTCATTAGATTCTTAGAAGTAGAACTATCAGATCAAAATACATATTCACTTACAATTCTGACAGTTAGAGCCAAATTGTTCTAAAAGGAGTGCACGATTTCCCCATACCACTGCCAATCTGATGGATAAAAATACCATCTAGTTTTATTTTGCTATGCATGTGTATTTTATATAATTGTATTAAAACAAATAATTTTGGGTTCTCATTTCTTTAGCTAAAACTGAAGAAAATTAAAACAACTTGACGAGAGCCAAAGTGCGACCCTGAGTATTAAAAAAAAAAAAGCAAAACAAACCCCACTGCCATCAAGTCAATTCTGACTCACAGCGACCCTACAGTGTAGAGTAGAACTGCCCCTATAGAGTTTCCAAGGAGCGCCTGGTGGATTTGAACTGCTGACCTTTTGGTTAGCAGAGGTAGCTCTTAACCACTACACCACCAGGGTTTCCACCTTGAGTGTATCACCCCTGAATTTAGAAGTCATCTCAAGAACAGATTTGACGCACTGAACATTAATGATCGAAGACCAGAAGAGCTGTGGGATGATATCAAGGACATTATACATGAAGAAAGCAAAAGGTCATTAAAAGGACAGAAAAGAAAAAAAAAAAAAAGGACATCAGAAGAGACTCTGAAACTTGCTCTTAAATGTAGAGTAGTTAAAGCAAATGGAAGAAATAATGAAGTAAAAGAGCTGAACAGATTTCAAAGGGCTGCTTAAGAAGAAAAAGTACAGTACTATAATGAAATGTGCAAAGAACTAAAGTTAGAAAACCAAAAGGGAAGAACACGCTTGGGATTTCTCAAGCTGAAAAAACTGAAGTAACACGTTAAGCCCTGAGTTGCAATACTGGAAGATTCTATGGGCAAAATAAGTGACCCCTGGTGGCACAGTGGCTAAAGTGCTCAGCTATTAACCAAAAGGTCAGTGGTTCAAATCCACAGGCTACTCAGTGGGAGAAAGATGTGGCAGTCTGCTTCCATAACGATTTACAGCTCTGAAACCCCTGTGGGGTAGTTCTACTCTGTCCTATAGGGTCACTATGAGTTAGAATCAACTCAACAGCAATGGGTTTGATTTGGTTTGGTTTCTGAGCAAAATACAGAACGATGCAGAAAGCATCAAAACAAGATGGAAGGAATACAAAAAATCACTGTACCAAATAGAACTGGTGAACGTTCAACCATTTCAGAAGGTAGCATATGCTCAAGAACGATGGTACCGGAGCAAGAAGTCCAAGCTGCATTGAAGGCATTGGCAAAAAACAAGGCTCCAGGAATTTACAAAATACCAATTGAGATGTTTCAACAAACGGATGCAGTGCTGGAGGTGCTCATTCATCTATACCAAGAAATCTGGAAGACAGCTACTTTGCCAACCGACTGGAATAGATCCATATTTTTGCCCATTCCCAAGAAAGGTGATCCAACTGAATACGGAAATTATTGAACAATATCATTAATAATGCACGCAAGTAAAATTTTGCTGAAGGTAATTCAAAAAGGCTGCAGTAGTACAACAACAGAGAACTGCCAGAAATTCAAACCAAATTCAGAAGAGGACATGGAATGAGGGATATCTTTGCTGATGTTAGATGGATCTTGGCTGAAAGCAGAGAATACCACAAAGATGTTTACCTGTGTTTTACTGACTATGCAAAGGCATTCGACTGCACAGATCATAACAAATTATGGATAATATTGCAAAGAATGGGAATTCCAGAACACTTAATTGTGCTCATGCAGAACCTGTACATAGGCCAAGATGCAGTTGTTCGAACAGAACAAGAGGATACTGCGTGGTTTAAAGTTAGGAAAGCTGTACGTCAGGGTCATATCCTTTCACTATACTTATTCAATCTGTATGTTGAGCAAATAATCCAAGAAGCTGAACTATATGAAGAAGAATGGGGCATCAGGATTGGAGGAAGACTCATTAACAACCCCTGCATTATGCAGATGACACAACCTTGCTTGCTGAAAGTGAAGAGGACTTGAAATACTTACTGATGAAGATGGATTACACCTCAACATAAAGAAAACAAAAATCCCTCACAACTGGACCCATAAGCAACATCATGACAAACGGAGAAAAGATTTAAGTTGTCAAGGTTTTCATTTTACTTGGATCCACAATCAGTGTCCATAGAAGCAGCAGTCAAGAAATCAAACAATGTACTACACTGGGCAAATCTGTTACAAAAGATTTCTCGAAAGTGTTAAAAAGCAAAGATGTCACTTTGTGGACTAAGGTGCGCCTGACCCAAGCAATGGTATTTTCAATCATTTCATATGCATGTGAAAGCTGCACAATGACTAAAGAAGGCGGAAGAATTGATGCCTTTGAATTATGGTGTAGGCAAAGAATACTGAATATACCATGGACTACCAGAAGAAGGAACAAATTTGTCTTGGAAAAAGTATAGCCAGAATTCTCCTTAGAAGCGAGGATGGCAAGACTTTGTCTCACATACTTTGGACATGTTATCAAGAGGGACCAGTCCCTGGAGAAGGACATCATGTTTGGTGAAGCAGAGGGTCAGCAAAAAGGAGGAAGACCCTTGTTATGGATTTGAATTGGTCCCCTAAAAACATTTGTCAGTTTAGGTAGGCCATGATTCCCAGTATTGTGTGATCATCCTCCATCTTGTGTTCTGATATAATTATCCTATGTGTTTTAAGTTCTAACATCTATTACATTAATGAGGTAAGATTAGAAGCAGTTATGTTAATGAGGTAGGACACAATCTACATGATTAGGTTGTATCTTCAGTCAATCTCTTTTGTGACATAAAAGAGAGAAGCAAACAGACAGGAGAGGGACTGCCTACCATCAAGAAAGAAGAGCCAGGAACAGAGTGCATCCCTTGGACTCGGGGTTCCTGCATTGAGAAACTCCTAGATCCAGGGGAAGACTGATGACAAGGACCTTTCCACCAAGCTGACAGAGAGAGAAAGCCTTCCACTGGAGCTGCCAAACTGAATTTGGACTTCTAGCCTCCTGGACTGTGACAGAATAAACTTCTGTCTGTTAAAGCCATCCACTTGTGGTATTTCTGTTATAGCAGCACTAGATAATTAAGACAACCCTCAACGAGATGGACTGACACAGTGGCTACAACTATGGGCTCAAACACAGCAATGATTGTGAAGATGGCGCAGGACCTGGCAGTGTTTTGTTCTGTTGTACACAGGATTAGTACAAGTTGGAACCAACTCAACAGTACCTAACAACAACAACCATCATTTTCATAACTGTCATCTAAATTACTATGTAATATTCCATCAAGCAGATGTATCGCAATGGATAACAACATTTCCCCTAAGTCCCACATTACACTCCACAGACAAAAAGTTCCCTAGTCAATAAGTTTTTTGAATATAACATATTATACCATCCTCTCCTTAATTCAAGTGGTCATTAGTATATAAATGACTCTGAGACGTCACACCATTAAAAAACATGGTTACTAAGTACCTGGAGGAGTCCCTGGGTAGTCAAACAGTTGAAGTTTTCAGCTGCTAAGCAAAAAGTTCAAGTCCACCCAGAAGCACCTCAAAATAAAGACCTGCCACTCTACTTCCAAAAACAAGCCATGGAAAAACCTATGGAGTTTAGATATACTCTGGCACACATGCAGTCGCCATGAGTTGGAATCAACTAAATGGCAATTGGTTTGGTTTGGAATCATGTAAGCAAGCTTTTCTTTCTAAAACAACCACAAAGAGGAAACAAGCGCCTCTGACCAGTTAATAATAAAAACCACAGACACAAAATTTTCTTTTCAGAGTTATCAACAATACCCTTTCTTCATTCCCCAAATTTTTAGACCTAACTGCAGTGCCTGAACGTGGAAGTATTTACTCAAATTGTTCCCTCTGCCTAGGATGCTAACAACTACCAAACAAAAACAAGAGAATATTTAACATATAATATTTAAAATAGTAAGTACATGCTAATCTCACCGATAACTGTGTCCTTAAAATTTTTCCTTCTTTTTTTAATAACAGCTTTATTGATATATAACACATATACCATAAAACTCATCTTTTTAAAGTGTAAAGTTCAGTGGTTTTTTAGTGTATTCAAAGAATTGTTCAACCATCACTATTGTCTATTTTCATTTTAATCACCTCAAAAAAAATCCATAACTATTAATACTCACTTCCTATTCACCCCTTTCCATACACCCTGTCAACCACTAATGTACTTTCTGTCTCTATGGATTTGTTTATTCTAAACCATTTATATA